ATTGCGAACATACGATGCTCGACTGTCACAGTTGGTTTCCGATTTAGCCTCTCATATATGCAGAAATCACATTTAAAATGATAACTTTAACATTGCATCCAATAAGCTTACCCATACCACAAAAATGTAGCACTATAAGAAGATACAGCATTGGAAAGGGTACACCACTAGTTCATGTTACTCTTAAAATATCACTCGGTATAATAGAAACGGATATCTAATCTAATATGATATTATTATGACACTCAGTAACTTTTAAAGCAAATAACCCATACCTTAGGCTGCAACTAACCACAACATTTTTTCTAACTTAACACATTTAGCAACTATTTCATCATTTTTGGCTGCAACACAAGAAACCTGAATGTTACCAAGACTTTCTAACCATAACATTTTTCTAACTTAACACATTTAGCAACTATCATTATCTTACTCAGTGGAAAGCCAAAGGAGAGTAACTAGAATATTTTCATTAAATCCATTGCAAGAATTAAAATAAAATTAAATAAATGCGTGTACAGAATGGTTAATGGTCGACGCAAATAAATGTGCTAGACATCAAAGGTCATATAGCGCTATGGGAAGAAAGATGGGATGGTGTAGTGGGGTAGTTCTGTGGGGGGAGGAGAAAAATAAGGATGAAGAGTATTAATAAGGGAAGAAGGGGTAGCCATTGAAGAAGACTGTGCAGTAGATGGAGAAGAGAATGCTGGGAGAGAGGAGGGGGTGGGTGGTTCAGAATGGGTAGAGATCTCAGTAAACGTCGAGGAGGGGGTATTAGTATCAGCTGTCAGAGCCATGGTCAGAGGGTCAGGGGTAGGAAAAACATCAAAATCGAAATCAAATAGGCTAGTTGATGAAGTGGTAGGCTTTAATGCTCCTATTAAGGGTAAAGAATCTTCATTATTGGCCATGGTGTGCCTGAATAAAATGTGGGAAAAAAGTCTACCCCTCAGGGTCCCCATAAGGAGTAAAGACTAAGCAATTAACCAAGCAAATACCGTGCCCATAGCTCCCGGAAGCCGTTCATGACTGACATAAAGCCAGTCTTTCATCCTTTCAACATGGCTCTCACACCTTAGGAATGGGACAGAAGAAGGGGATGAAGATATGGAAGAGGATAGGAGGAGAAGAAAAGAGCAAGCAAAATGAGTTGGGTGAGAATTTCAGTCCAAGGTAGGGGCAATTCCTACATTGGGCTCGTCTCCATCTCCTAAGCCCCCCTCCCCCCAACAGCTGTATAGAATATATTACAAACAAATGGCAAACCAAAAAACATTTATCAAGAACTTGACCTCCTATGGAGAATTCACAGTATGTATTAGAACACAATTATCATCACTTGGATAGAAATAAAACAAAAGATGACAATTTTTATATATATTGTATTCCATACAATATCCAATATCTAGACATTTATGATATATTTCAGATCACATACGAAGAGGCACTTTACTCAAGAAGAAATAGAGCATTTTCTCACACAGTTAAGAGTATTTAAGACAGATATATAATAAGGCATTCATACCACAGAACGTATACACGCATTCACCTGAAATACAAGGATGTAGGAAATTTTTGCATACTGAGCAATGGAAGAAATCCATGGATATGACTAACGTATACTCTAAAATGTATAAAGTGGTCCATCAAAATAATGGAATGCTTTCCGACAGAGATAAAATAGAAACTTTTGATAATTTGTCAAATTTCCCAAAATAATTAAATTTCTAACAAGCATAAATATATGAGAGATATCCAACAGTTTTGAAAATCATTGACCACAAATATTCTACACTGAGGATTTAAAAAGATATAGACAAGGATCATTACATTGCGAAGAGGAAACAGTACCAGTACCTTAAGTCTTATATAATATTAGTTTCCCTTCAGTACGAAAAAGAAAGAAAAAAAATTAATACGTGTTCCTAAGGGCAAATTAACATTATTTCATACAATCAATGTAACAGTATGTCAAAAGAACCTAGAAAACCAATATGTTCCTTCAATACAGACGCCCCTTTGCTAAAACATTCCCAACCGTCATATATTCTATAAATTTTATATATATCACACTTTGTGAGCTGTTTCCTTTTTTCAAATTCACCGCAATATATTTACAAAGAACGTCGTCACCTTGCAACTGCTCTCAATAAACACAATTGCAATGCCACAACGACAGACAGACATCAAATTCACTGGCATCTTCAAAGTTCATAGCTGTCGTTATTCCTAGGACACTTCTGTACACTGGGGGGGGGGGGGGGGGGGGGAATAATCTTTAAAGTCTCAACCAAAGAACTCGCACACTGTCAAAAAGCTCCATGGCTCATTCTGAAAGGTTACTGAGCAGTAATTGATGGGGGTGTGGTATACAAGTTGCATTTGGCTTCCCAGTGAAAAATGATCCCCTATGCTTCTGTCACTGACACTTTATTACCTACTAAGTGTGAAAAAAAAAAAAATAATAAAGATGAGAGCAAATAAAAAAAATGCAGTA